TTGCCAAACCCTTCTGGAATCTCCTTACTCCAGATTAGCACCTGTCTAGCAAAGCTCTGGAGGGCCCCTTACACGAGCTGACAACTGAGCCCTGTGTGTTTACTCAGGCTGTACCGGCACAGGAGGGCGCAGGGCAGAAAGACACTTGGCTCCCAACGTGCGGCTGCAGGATTCATCCTGCTAGACGAACCAATCATCAGCAACCGGAACTAAAAGTAGGCTGGCTGTTCACAGAAAGGGACCACACTGGCCATCGCTAAGGAAGTTTTATACTGTGAAATTAAATGCCACCTTTTTTTTTTTTTAAATAAGTGAATTAATTTATTCATGTTTGTACATTAAATTGTGTACAGTTTGAGAGGATTACAGTTAGATTAACAAAAGCCAGTTACCAAAAAGGAAATACAAAACTAAAAATTATTCTGGAAGCTTATTTATTACAGAAGGGAAGTTTCAAGATCATGTAAATCCAATCTGGTGAAATAGTTAGATGTTTAAAATGAAATGTTTAAAAAAAATCAAATTATTTCTATAAAATCATATCTAAGGCAGGTTTTATTGTACATTGATTTTAAACATTTGGATAGAGGGAAAAACCTGAGATCTATACCCAAAAGCTATTCTCTGCAGAAGAGACACACACGTCTGTCTGCTTTCAGCAGCAAACAGTATATATAATGGTTCCTATAAAAGTTGTGCTGTACATTAGCTGTAGTGCAGGTCACTTTCATATTAAGTGCCAACAAAGGCTTAACAAAATATACAAAGTCTGAAAAGGTGAGGCTGTTTAAAGCATTAATTGTATACATATTGCACACTATAGTGAATAGTCATGGTTCCAGGAAACACTCATGTTGCATCTGCCAGTTCTTGCGCTGCGAACCACAGCGGAACGAGAACGGGTCAAGGACGACGAACACCCCCAGCCGCAACGGCAGCAGAACGTGGTGGCAGCGCCATGGAGGCTGCTGTCTTCCCTCAAGCGGCCAGCGGTTTGCTGGTCCTACTGGTCCCGGGACTCATAAAGAAGTTTTGTTGCCTGACATGGAGACAAAACGTCATTGCGTGAAGTTTTGCTTGCAGCCACCTCACCTCCTTCCGGCTCCTCCAAAAATTTACTTGAAACCTAAGGCTTAGGTTCTGCTGTTTTCCTTAGTCTGAGGCATTCAAAAGCATTCAGTGATTTTTTGAAACTATGCGAGGCTACATTACATGCAGAACCTGAGGGCACTGAAGATCTAGGTCAGAAATGACCATTTCTGATCACAACTCCCTTTGAAAAAAGTTAGAAGTAGTATTTCTGAGATTTTTGGGGATCTGTCTGTCCAGATGCGCTGGGGTTAGGGGTGGCTGGGGAGCTGAACAGCCACACACCTGCATTTGCAGGCAGCTTATTAATGACAGTTCGAATTAGCAACCAGATGAGCCAAGTTCCAGAACTAGCTGGAAAGCCTTTATAGCACACACCTTCTTCAGGAAGGGCTTCCAAAGCTTCTGGAAGCTTTGCCCCTCCGCTTACCTTATGCATGGCTGCCAGCCAGCTTGCTGACAGCTTCCTGTTGCAGCTGAAGTCTTCGCTGGCTGTAAGCTTCATCTGCGTACGGCACCTTATACTGCAGCATCATACCTATGGCACGGGTGTTGCCTCCTGCAGAAAGAAACAAAGTCTTGAGCAGCAACCGGTTTTACCCACTTTAACACAGCTTCTCCTACCTAATAAGCATGTTTGAAGAAAACTCTCTCGTGATTTAATTCAAAGCAGGTGCGCTAACAACTGCCACGTCAGAGGAGGTAGCGACCACGGGTGTAAGTGCCAGGCAGCAGAACATGCAGGCTGAATATTGTTTCATTCTCTCTGGCAATCACCCAGGCACAACTTGTACAAGCCAGCAGGTAAAGCCACTACCTGCCCACGCTCCGAACACCCTCCTGTTTCCGTACTGCCCTGCCTTCTCTGAAGTAGCTGCCGTAGTTTCACACCGTGGCCTGCAGTCTAAACGGCGTTGCTAGTGTACAGTCAGAGTGACAGTACGAGGAGGGGATCCCTGCTCCACCCCAAGCCTGGCGCAGCAGTCGGAAGTCACTCCAAATCTGGCAGAAGGTGGAGGGAGGGGAAGATGCTTACGCAAGACTAGATGACGGCTGGCAGTCACTGACTTCCTGAGGGAAATCGGCTACAGAAGATACTGCTCTGGCAACAGCGATAGCGAGATGTCTGTATCTCGTTAGCCGCATGGAGGTTAAGATAAACCAAAGCAGAAACAGAGAAGCAAAACAAAAGCTTTGTTTAGAACAGCACACTCATGCTTTACATAACCTGTATTGGCCCTGCTTATTTCCTGCAGTAGGAGAGTGTAAGCCAAGCGCTGAGTACAGCTCCACCATACGCTTTTGGCAAACTGCCGGCATGGGAGGGCTCCTGGAGGCCACTGCTGTAATACCCAAGAAGCCAAAGAGAGACAGTCTACGCAACCTGACCAGAAGCCCTCAAACTGTTTATAAACACGGCCGTCATCTCCTCTGCTAAGGTACACTGAAATCCAAGTTCGCCATCCCCTGCATCCGCCCGGGCAGACTAACAGATTAAGGCCCTACTTTGAGATAAACCAGTGGAAACACCCGCAGCCTGCCCAGTTCTGCTGATTCCCACTGCCCGTGCCTGGCCTTCCAGGACATTACTGACTCGGGCAAAACACACCTTACACAACAAGACACTGTATTTACTTTACAGAAGTGTAAAAGCAAGCCGTTAATTAACAGTTTGTTTATTCCATGCAAAACCTTCCTGGTCAGTGCACAAGGAGTACGTTATTATCTGGCATGCGCAGTTCAGCACACCTCTGCTGAAGTAGGTGATGTGTAACACCGTGTACCACTGGAGATACTATTTCTCATCTTCCCTCCTCTCTTCCAGCATGGACATGTGGTCTAAAGGCAGCCTCCAATGCTTTAGTTCTCCTCCAAAAAGTTACTAAGCTTCATTCTCAGTTTATGAAACAGACAGATGGGAAAGAACAGATACGTGGCAGATTTGAACAGCTGTAGATCAAGCAAAAAAAACAGCACTGCAGGGGAAGAAGGATGGGAGGGGGCTCATGGCAACATGCTTAGGTGCGTCATGCTCAGAGGTACTGGTGATACCTTCCGTAATATGCTGGCTCTCCAGAAGGCTGGTGTAAGTGTGAGTATCTTTTTCTACCATCAAGGAAGGCAGGCAGGCAAAAAGATAAAGGAGTCAGAAGAGCAGTGAACAAGCAGGTACAGGAGCATCAAGTAACTCAGCAACACACCTGGTTGGGCTGGACACCAAGATAAGTTTGCACTGACTGAATACTGCAGACAGCTGCCCAACTAGAAGAGTCCAGCAGTGACAGAGGTGTTGCTAAAGAACAATCATTAGAATTCCTGACCTTGTTTATTCTCATTTCAGTCAAATCATATTCAAGTTCATCCTGAAACACTCTAAAATCTGGTAAGAGAGGAGGCAGTAAGTAGCTCCCCTCTGATTCAGGCGTTACCAGTTTCATTTGGCCACCCCTTTCTCATGAATGAAATTAAGAAAGTATAATTCAATTATTTATTCCCCCCCAGTTTCTCTCTCATTCTCCTCACAATTGTACCAGTAGAAGAGAAATCTCAGCAGGATCCTGAAGTTGAAGCTCCCAAAGGCTTACAGGTCCCTGTGAGCTCTGGAGTCAATGGATATTTAGCTAAGCGAAAGGATGAGAACAGATGATGATCACCTTTACTCAGGTTTAATCGAGCAGCTCCCCCACATCAGAGCTCTAAGGTAATTTCCCAATTCTTAGGTTTCTCCCCCAAACCCCAGTAGCCACTTGGACAGGGTTCCACACACCGCACTCTAATCTGAGAGCGGTTGTAACTAACACGGCTACACCTCAGTTACCAGCGACCTAGAAATGCACTCTCTAGCTCCAACAGTATTTACAACTTCACGTTTCTTTCTTAAGAGTTAATTTGCATTCACTGAAAAAAATTTACCTCCAGGAGTAAATCCCTCTGTAAGTATCTGAACACTTGAAATCTGTACAATTTCAATTTCATAGTGGCTGTCTCCATCCAAAACCAGGTACCTACGTGACAGAAGAAAAATTTTTAAAAAAGAGAAGTTTTTTCCCCAATATCAAGTCCCAATCAAAGGAAAAAGAGAAACACAATCTCTCAGTGACTGACTGTTTATGTTCTTTGCAATGGACAAGGAGAGAAATACAGCAGGAAAAGTTACTTTTCATTGAAGTTCTTCACTTCAAGGCAAAAACCCGACACAAAACCTGCAGTTCTGTTTGCCAGGAGACCCTTTCAAAATACTAAAAACATTCTTCTGAAGTTCTGGGAAAGAAGAGAGCCTAAAGCGTTCTAGCCAACCAAACTACAGGGATGAGCTAGGTAATGCTTTGGCTGGAGTGTTAAACACCACGGTGCAGTGTTGGAATCACTCTGAAACAAGCTTTTTTCAGCGGCTATAGATTTTTCCCTCCCAACAACCCCCCCCTTCCTATGATGCTCCTGTTAGCTGGCAAAGACACTGTATTCCAGTGGCACTCAGGAGCTCTCAGCATTCTAAGGAATTCTGATCCACACTGCTAGTAAATTCAAACCCATTTACACAAAAAAAGTTGTACCTGTCCTTTCAGTCCAATTACTCTCTCCAATATCCTTGCAGCACGTTACTCTTATTTTGTCTAGGTTATTAGATAATAATATAGCTGTAAGTGCAACAGTAATATAGTTTATATGTGCAATTTCTATCAGTCCTTCTCACCTCTGATTGTTGGAAAGTCGACAAACCATGAGCTCAGATTTATCAGATGTTCCCAGACTTACAAAGAACGTAGCACCTGGAAAGAAATGTTGTAGTATTCTAGTGCAGAGTTCAGGAAGGAACATTCAAGCATGAAAAAGGACAATGAAGTTTTACTTACTGCACCTCACACACTGAAAATGGGGTGAATTAAGAGACCAGCTGACACATTAAACTGATTAACACCTGCAGAACACTCAAGTATAAAAAGACCTTTCACAACTGTGATGTAATTTCTCCTACACGTTGTAGAAATACAAATGATATCTAGGATAAATCTTTTTAAAAAGAGAACAGATTTGGAGATGGTAAAATCACAGACCTTCTCTTGTCACCATGATACAAACTACTGTTTCAGTATTCAAAAAACAGATCTGCCACAAGAACCTAATAGCAGATGTGACCTTCAGCTCTGCATGTACCAAAGAGCAGAGATGCCTCTGTTCTCGTTACTGAAGGCTAGCCCAGGCTTACTTTGAGGTCAGTGAACTTTAGCCTTCGCACTGTGTTTCTTCCTGCTCAGAACAGCTCCTCTGCCATCAGGAAAGTCATCTTAGCCACACTCAGAAAGTGATTCATAACTGAAAATAAAGCAGACTACACACCTCGCCACTTTATTTCCCCCACACTCCCTGTATTGCCTAATCCCGGTGCTGCTGGCCTGGGCAATGAAAACACTGCCAACATACAGCCCTGCCAAACAGTCTGCAATCCGTCTCCGTAAGTGGAGCCACGCAGCCGCAGAGCGCTTCACCTCGCACTCCAGTGTTACGCGGCCTCCCCAACCCCTCAGCACGGATCCCCAGGCTGCTGCTGAAGCGAAACAGAGGCAACAGCAGCAAAAGTGGGAAGGACAGCACAGCCACTGGCTCTGACCGAGATCTGTGGCTCCCCAGCAAGTCAGCAACAACTTCGGACTTGAACTGCACAACACACATGCAAGCAGGACAAGCTTTTAAAAACAACTTCAGTTCCAAACACATTATTTACATCCTCATCTCCACCTTCATCTGCAGAGCAGAGTGAGGCATGATCTGTGTTACAGGGACAAGCAGACTCCTTTCTGAACTCAGAGTCTCCTCAAAGCATTCGTGCTCGTCAGACGTGTGGCTTAGCTGACCGGTTATACACATCAGCATCACACTGGGAGTTGAGAGCCCATCAGAAGGCATGGAGCAATCACAGAGTATTTTAAAAACTGAAGACTCAGCTTTCTCAGTGTAATTGGAACATGAATTACTGTACTGCATGTAGTTTTAACGCTATGCAAAATAGACCGCTCGTGACGATGGCTGTAGGGCACAGGTGAGATCAAAGCTCACAGACGAAGCTTGAAACAAGCACTGTATCTTGTTAGAACATATTAAAATCACAGAATCATGGAGTGGTTGGGGTTGGAAGGGACCTTAAAGATCATCCAGTTCCAACCCCCCTGCCGTGGGCAGGGACACCTTCCACTAGACCAGGTTGCTCACAGCCTCATCCAGCCTGGCCTTGAACACTTCCAGGGATGGGGCATCCACAGCTTCTCTGGGCAACCTGTTCCAGTGCCTCGCCACCCTCTCTGTGAAGAACTTCTTCCTGATATCTAATCGAAACCTCCCCACTTTCAATTTAAACATGTTACCCCTTGTCTTGTCACTACAGCCCCTTGTAAAAAGCCCCCCCCAGCTTCCTTGTAGCCCCTTCAGGTACTGGAAGGCTCCAATAAGGTCTCCCCGGAGCCTTCTCTTCTCCAGGCTGAACAAGCCCAACTCTCTCAGCCTGTCCCCACAGCAGAGGTGCTCCAGCCCTCTGATCATCTTCGTGGCCTCCTCTGGACTCGCTCCAACTGGTCAATATCCTTCTGATGTTGAGGGCTCCACAGCTGAACAGAGCACTCCAGGTGGGGTCTCACAAGAGCAGAGTACAGGGGCAGAAATACTCTCTGTTGTTAAGTACCTTTCATCCTTATTTAACCTAACAGGAATCTGGCTAAAAGATGCATTATTTTAATAAAAACGCCGCCTGCACACCCATCCGCTCTCAGAGGAGTGCACCAGCACGCGTGTGTGCAGGCAGCCCTTACCGTTCATCAGCACCTTAAGCTGCTTGTCATAAAACTCCGTTTCCTTCTGAGAGACGAGGGCACATTCAGCACACTGGCGCACAGGGTCCACGAAGCACATGCGAGGCAGAGGCACTTTTTTACTGCAGCACTTGTCACAGAAGCACTTCCCGCACCTTCGGCAGTGATGCTAAGCGTAAGAGAACGCCCTGGTTATTTATGTCCACAGGAAACTATTAAAGAATAATTTGATGAAGTGGCTACATTAAATATCCTCCGCTCCAAGAAACAAGAGTTTCTCAAGTGCAAGACATGCGAGTAGAGGGATCGGTAAAGGAATTTCAAGCGGGAGAAAGGAAGAAATCTCTGAATATGGAACACAAAGGACTGAGTACAGTATGAACAAGAGCACCACAAGCCTTTGTTGGCACTCTGTGGACATGCTGCTATAGCAGACCAGACAAGACACCCAAAGGGCTTCTCTGGGTGTCCAGTCAATCCTTCACCTTACTGTCAGTAAAAACACAAGGGAAGAATGGCTTCTAGGTCCCTTCCCACTTCCAAGCAAAGACTGTGGGACACCTCCATTGGACATTCTATTCTTCTCCCTTAAAATTTCTTCTCGTGTTTTCCCCACAGAAACTTAAGCCTAAAGCTACTTCTCTGTCAGAAATATCAGGCAGCATAGCACAAGTCCAACAAAGTTGCAAAATCGGATCTAGTATCGCAACGCGCTTCACAGCTACTAAATCTGCAACAAGTGGCTTGTGCTCCAGATCGCTCTCGGGGTGTGACAGTCCCAGCAGCTCCTCCTGATGCAAGCTCTCGTGTCAGAACAAGTATTCCCAGGCAAGCAGGGACTGATCTGCAGCTCAAAGCAAGCCTGAACACTTGGATACAAGGAAGTGACACGCTTCAGTTTTGGATAGTGTTAGGCTTTCCTTCCAAATAAGATGCAAAATTCTCCAGAGTACCCATTTCCCAAGGCTACCTCTGTTCGCTTCCCAAAGCTCACAGAGGTAGAGCTCAGCAACCGAGTGAATTAGCGCTTCTCAACCCCAACCAACCAGCCACCGTGTCCTCTACCCACCCAACTGAAGGGCAAAACACGGAACTAGGAGAAGTACGCTCCGTGGTTTAGAAGTACTGGGATCACCAAACGACATCCTAATGCTCTTCAGGCCTCCTGAAAGCCTACCCCTATCTGCTGTGACATACCAGTATGTCTGGTTCACAGTTTCTCCTTCCCTCTCCCTCCAAAACATAAATTAAAAACCACTGACTACGTCAGCGCCTCCAAGTCGCACTTCCACGTGTGCATGCTACGACAGCGTCCATGCAGCTACGCACGGGAGTGATATTCCCTGCTAAAAGTCACTGCTGGCCTTTTTTGGGATGCAGTTTTCTTTCTCTAGGCAGAAACCCCCAAGGTCAGCAGAATGTTTTCCAACAGCAGCATTCCACAGTGACCTGCTTTTAACCAGAAATGCCCTTTTCCAAACCTGAGATTAAGTCCTGCTTTACTTTCAGACCAGAGGGAGAATGCAAGTTTTGGTTCTCCACATTTCAACAATACGGTTCTTCAGTGCAAGAGCGTAATTCATTACTCCCAAAAACATCTTTGCTTACATCTCCACAACTAACTGTGTCTCCTAAAGCACAACTGAACCAGTTGCCTTGGATTCTATGTCAGTACTGATGTTAGCAGCCCACTCCAGCATGAGTTCCCCTAACTCTTCCTTTGAGAGTAGACAGTAAATCCTGTGGACACACAGTAATTTGGAAAAAATCCCTAACTTTGCGTTACACACTGAGCCACGAGAAGCATTTCAACAGAATTAAACCAAAAAGGACCTCTGCTCAGCAAACGCAGAACAGAAAGAAAAACTACTTTAAGTTACGCCAGCCTCTGCACGCTATTCTACTGAAACCTCCCACCTTTCACATCGAAACAAGTCCACGTTAGTATTTTTCAACCGTTAATGCTTTACATTTCGTTAGTTTCTCTTACCTTTCTAGTTATGAAGTCAAATTTTGTATCACACTGCATACATCTCGGGCACTAGAAAACAATACAAATTGAGATTAATCCTCAAGATTTCTAAAGCTTGAATCCTACTACCATATACAAAGTCTCAGCTTTATATTATGCCCTAAAATAAACACCTCCAACGAACTTCCATCCTTGATCTTTTCACCATGGATGGCTTTCATTTGTCTTCATACCGGTGTAGCAAAACAATGTCATTGGTCAGACAGAAAGAAAAGCTGCCAACCTCATTCTCCCTACGGAATGCTGCATCTTGCCGGGAGTCACAACCACGTTTCAGAGTACTTACCATGCGTAACAACGTCTGGCTACCCAGACAGAGTCCAGAGTCTGCTGCTTCTGTATCAGTGGTCATCCTCACTGTACTGCAGTGTGCTACTGTGACCCTCTGCTGACTCACAAAAACACCGTTTTGTGTATTTTAATGCTCGCGGTACTTACACATTTTTGAAACATGCTAGGAGATACTTGGTTTTCTTCCAAGCCACTAAGACTTCATTTCTGTTCCAGCTACAGAAATGTCACTTCCTGAAATATCTTTCCCAAAACACGCTTACACCCACACTCCTCCCAGCAGAAAAGCCAGAAGAAAATCGAAATTTCTCTCTCACAACTAAGCAGAGTTTGAGGGTGACAGTTTGGATTGTCCAAACCAGCGGACGCGATTGGTGACTGTTAGGACAATTCACGTTTTCTATGCAGAAAGTCACCTACCAAAGGGCTGAGAGTCTGCACTTACAGGAGAGTTTAACCAGCACTTGACGTATTTTGATCCACCATATCAAAAACCACTCTTCAATTGCTTAAAAAGCCATTTGTGTTGGATTTATTTACAAATATTAATGCAAAATTATGCCTGACACCTGACTCAGGAAAACATGATTAGATCCTGTAGGAAGTTTTACAACTCTAGAAACCCAAACTCTTTAAACCAGACTATCTCAGACTACAGCAGAACGTCACCTTAACAGCATGCCCCAAGCCGGGCAGGTGCTATTTGTTAAGCACACAGTAATCACCTTTGCCTTTAATTAACATATTTCAATACTTAACCCTTTATCTTCTATAAAGACTTTGAGGTTACAGCAGCTTTTGTCACCGATTTTGGGGACTTTCGCTTCAGCCAATGCCCAACCACTGTCACAAGTCTAAAGCCAAGGAAGTATTACAGCAGCTAAATTAGAACTTCTGTAGAAACCGCTCATGTTCTTTTGAAGTACAAGATGGTTAATAATTTGCAACAGTTTACATGAAGCGTTCTGACATCTAAACAAAAGTTTAACACATTAGAGAGTACCTGCAGTCACTGGTGGAACATAAATAGCTTACTGTAACAAACACTGCAGGTAGCTCTCTGTTTCTAACCCCCCCAAGAGAACTAGAAGTGTTCCTGTACTGTTTCAAATAGGCTACAAACACAGGCATCCAACCCCCCCTTCTCACAAGGGCTGCAGAAACGCTTATTCCAACACTCACTGGTGAATAACCTTCAGCATAAAGCAACTTCAGTATTCCCAGGTTTCATCTCTCTGCCAAGCAGCACTCCACAGCCAACACCACATTTTCCTCTACACCAACTCCGATTTAGTGCTTTAATTTTTTGACATGTAGCTTAAGAGCTTGTCTGGGAGCAGGACCTGTCAAAAATTTTTGCCTACTCTGAATTTACCAGCAGTTTAACTCCTTAAAGAAAACATGTTTGTTTGGTTTGGGGTTTTTTGGTCAGAAATTAGGAAGTAGAAGCCACAGACTAAGGCGGGGGGTGGGGGGGGGTGGGGCAACACACGCTCCTCTAAGTGCTGTCCTAAACAGATTTCATGCACAAGGTTACGCTAAACATACACGTTGCTTTTCAGGAGGAGCAAAGTTACCCATTCTCTCTTACTGAATACAAACTCCATAGAAAAAATACTTCTGAATTCCAAACCTATCCTGCTAACACTGCCTGATACACAGAGCTGTCATCAATAAACCACAAGTCAAAAGGCATACGGAATGAGATTTTCCTACGACAAGGTTTTAACGCCAGCGAGCTCAACACGCTGTTCCTTCACGACATCACTGCTTTAAGTGCCCAAATCAAGTGAACCCATTTGCATAATATCAACTTCTACTTTGCCTGGGAAGAGATGACAATGGAAAACCATCTCAACAGGTGAATCCTTCCTGTTCATCCATATGCTGACATAATTAGTGAGTGCACGAGTACTGGAGTAAGCTTTACAGCCTAAAGGGGGGTTTTAATCACATTTACAGAAAAGCAAGCATGACGTTTGAGTTAACTTTTCCTGTCTTCAAGACACAGGCTTTTTAAAACCACTGCAAATCTGAGCTTTTTGCAAAGTGGAAACAAAAAGATACGAAATAAGAAATGAAATTAAAACGCATGTCACTAGCATATTCATTTCACATACACATAGCACTAATACGAACATCAGATTACTTCCCACAGGAAGAGGAAAATGGAAGAACATCCAACAGTTGCTGGATCTTGTTATTAATTTAGAAACACTACGAGCTGGTTCATTACAAACAGCGTGGAACTTCTTACGCATTAGCTGAAGCACGGTGATGAATGTGCCTAACGCTCTGGATCCAGGCAGAGGTGAGAACACTGTGGATGGACAGGAAGCTGTCCTTACCCTTCACACACCTTATTTGCATATACAGTAACGAAGCCATTCAAAACGTGATGCAAGGGAACACTGGGTCAAACCCATTAACACGGTGAACTTTCGCCTATGTTAAACTTCACAAGCTCATCAAATCACGCCTGAGCGAAACAGCGGATGCCAGAGAAGAGCACGCTGCAAACATCTGGCAGATGGGGCTTGCAACACCCTGGTATTACAGCTGCACAGGGCCAATTCACTGCCTGAGCCGCACGGGTTTGCCAGCGGCCCGAGCGCAGCTCTGTCACGCGACTAGAGCCGACTCAGGCCGGGCCCACAGGGGAACCAGCCACAGAGAGCTCAGCTCCCTCCCACAGCAATCCAGGAGGCCTAAGGAACCACTGCCACTGCATCCGCACATCCCAGCTCCGAGACATCCAGTGTTCCGCAGCCACAGGAGGATCTGGCACGCAGCTGGATGTCACCAGGGTTGGCCACCTCTGCATTCCACACACACATTTTACTCAGGTTCCAGTCCAAGTTTTCCTTAACGGCAACATCAGTTGAGCTCCGCTGGTGACTGACAAGGACATTCTGGGTTAGACAAGGCACATGCAGTAACCAACAGTTCAAGCTCTGTCTCAAGTTTCATGATGTTCAGCACAAATTTTCATAACATCATCCACCTTGACTCATTATTTATGTTATAAATCACACCATCAAGAAGTCTCCCGTAGTCCTGCTTCAGTCTTATACTTCAAACTACTCAAAATAACTATTATTTTCAGACTATATATTGCTGTGACATAAAATTTAAAAAATTAAATATATTTCTTATACAAGTTTCCTGAAACTACTAACTAGCATAATTTTTAGGTGGCTTTCCTTTCAAAAAAATCAGTCAGTCGGCTTTTCCTACGTAAGAAAAATAAAGCTACTGGATTTGTGAGTGTCCCTGGCTCCGCAGCAGAACCCAGCGTATTCGAAAAGCCAGATCAACATTTGCCAATACCAGTCTCTTGTCTTGGACAAGAACACTCTTTTTGTTTGTTTTACACCTGACATGGTACCAAGAGCAAGTGTTCTGCTGAATTCATTAACTAGGTAACACTGTCTCTTTAAGTTTCATTTTATTAATAAAAACGTGGGGTTTATAAGCTTTCCTGTGTATCATGTACCTGCTTTATTTAAGGAGAAAGGTTGTAACTTATTTGGTTATCCGTAACCAAAGGGATGTCAGAATTCCAATACACTTTAAGAAAGTTAATAACTTTCTACGTAACAACCATCAAGATTAAGATTATGAATTAATAAATGCCTTTAAATCGTTTGCCTACAGCACACTTCCTCTCAGTACGTAAATATCACCGAGTCCAATGCAAAGGCAACATTCGGTCACAAATCGGCATCATCAGCCAATTGCCCACAGACTACAGGGAAAAGCTGGATTTTAAGGAGACGGAATAACGGTGGTACAGCTGTAATATACAATTCAAACTAACACCACGTACCCAAAACATACAGACTTGATTCTTAAATATATCTAACTATTTTGAATAAATCCTACCACCATCCTCAACCAACCTTCAGCTGAATTATGACGGCTCTGGGTATTAAACTGAGTTAGAAGCAGTTGCGTTTTTGTTGGTTTGGTTTTTGTTTTTTTTTTTTTTTAATGAAAATAGTCTGCTATAATCAAGAACTACTGACATAAAGCTGCATTTCAGAAGGTCAGGGAGAAAGCCAATTTCAATTTAACTGTCACACAAATTACACCCACTGAGGATGGTGTCGGCAACCAGGTCCCCAGGTGGCCTAGGCGAGCGCACGCAGGGCACAGCGAGTCACCTACGCAGCAAAAGCGGACTCCGCGCACCGCGAAGGGAAGCCACTTGCACAATGACGGCTCAGACTTCGCTACAAGCTCACCGATAACTACACACCCCATCTGCAACACGCCCAGCGCTCCGCGCCACGCTGGGTGCCAGCTGGCTGGGAGCCCCAGGAGCTCAGCGCCCATACTGGCAAGCGACACCCCTCTCCGGTCACTGGAAGGCAACTCACCTACGCTTTGGAAGGCAAATAATCGGTTGCTACTGATGACAGGGAGGATTTTTTCTTATTATTCTCAAAGTATGGAAGAGAATAACTGGAGACAACACTCACAAGATATTTTAGCAGACAGCTTGTTTGAAACAAGTTGAAAAAGTCACAGAACTGACTTACTAGTCACGCACCTCACGGCAGTAAAGGGCGGCGTGAGCTGCAGAAGCTGTGAGCGGATCTCCAGCATTATTACCATTTTGCTGAACTTTTTGCCTCAAGAGATGGTCTGGGCAAAATTTCCTTCCTCATTTCTAACCAAGGAGGACACGGCGCTCCCATACAAAACATGACCATGTCAGTATCTGGCAAAGAATGGCTTGGTTTAATGACTCCCTGCTTAAATTCACGCTGGCTCACCTAAAATAAATGTTCGTTCCAGGCACGTTTAAATGGGTTGGCACGCAGCCACGCCACAGAACACTGGCACTACGTAAACACAGGGCTGGTTCTGAAGCTGGATCAGCAGCTAGCTGTAGGGACTGGTAACGAAGAACGCTTATTACACGGAACCGAACATCATCGCGAAGGTCACCTGAAAAGCGTTTGAAGGCAAAGTTGGCTGAAACTCTTAAGTTATTCAACGCGCGTCTACCGCTGTGAACAGCCAGAAGGGCTGTTCTGACTTAGCCTTACTGCC